CCCTCCCCGCTCCCCCGTCGTGCCAGCGCGGACCGTGCTCCTGGTTGTCCTGCTGTGCCCCCCAAGACCTCGCCTGATCCCCTGGCTCCCAACCCCTCTCGGGCCCTGTGGCAACGCACAGGCCTCTGGAGCCCCAACCGGCTGGTAGCGAAAGTCCTTCGTGCTGGGAAGCGGGTGGGGTTCTAGGCGAGGGTCCCCAAGGCCAGGCCAGCAGCAGGCCTCTGGCGTAAGGTCAGTGGTTGATGAACCCTAGCTATGATCCCCTGTCTTTTCCAGACCTGACGTCCATGTCCGGGATGACGTGCCATGGGAGTGTTCCTGAGACCTCTTGTACTCTGCCCCTGCTCCTGGGGCAGACAGGACCCCTAGAAAGTTCCCAGACTCCCACTAGCTGAGCGAAAGGCATGGGGCCCTCAGAGGGGCAAGAAGTGACTAGGATTTTGTCCCTAGGATCAGGAGCCCTTGTCATACATTTCTAGCGACTAAGGCGACAAGGCACCTGGACAGGGACTTGCCCTGGCCCAGACTGATCTGAACATTTCTGAGGAGCCCAATGCTGGACATGCTCCTCAGCTGGCGATGGAGCACAATGTCAACAGACTCCCTCGCACACCATCCCAACCTACAGAATTCCAACCCCCCCACTGTGCCCCACTAAAGGACCTGGGGCAAGCATTCTGGAGTGAAAATATCCAGGGTAATCACCGAAAGGAAATGCAAATTAAGTCACATTTTGATCGAATTATTTCAAGATAGATATTGGCAAGACAGTAATAGAGCCTAAGTTGATATATTCTTTCAGGAGAGCAATCTAGTGGATCAGCATCCTAATTAAACAAAAGCACTTCTACAAGCAGTGATGATCCTAAGATTCTGTGCTAGGGAAGTAATTTAAAAATAGGTGATATCATAAGTACTAAAAAAAATTCAGACAATTTAAGTACAAAAGCATGTATCACAACAGAATCATGTTGTGGAGTCGTCACCACGGGCAGTCTTGGCGTCACCAGCTTTCTGAAAAGGAGCTCAGAAAGCACGCTGCCCTTTCTTCCCGACACCTGCCGCAGTGTTCACTGTTGTCAGAGAATGTTTTTGGGGAAAATCGGTAGGAATCTGAAATAACTACCCACTTAAAGTTTGCAAGACTTAATAAATATACTGTGATCTTTGGGTCAGCTAAAACACAATAATAGCAAAAGAAATCAACCAAAAAAATGAAACAATGCTCAATGTTCTATACTAACATACTTATAAAGTACTTCTAGCTGACTTAAAATTGTAATGTTAAGCGGAAGCGGCGTCCAGAATTGTATGATCTCAATATCTTACCAGTCTTCCGTATCCTGTCTCTTATCCTCACTAAAGATGCCTCTAGCTATGCCTGGTTGAGGTTGCACAGTAAGGAGGAAGAAAAGGTATACAGTGAACCCTCGTTTATCGCGGTTAATCGGTTCTAGACCCTACCGTGATAAATGAAATTCCGCGAAGTAGGATTCCTTATTTGTAAATCAAATATTTTCGTAGTTAGAGCATAGAGGACATGAAAAAACACCCTTTAGTCACCATTACACTCGTATTACCCAATTTATTAAACGAAAAAGGGAAAATACAGAAACATTTTGGACATTACAATTATCATTTATTATTTATTATATTATTTATGGCATCAAGCGTGTACAGTATGAGCCAATCAGTGGCAGTAATGACAGAGCATGCGCTGTTACGCAAAAACCGCGATAGTAAAAAAAAAAAAAACGCGATAGAGTGAAGCCGCGGAAGTCGAAGCGCGAAGTGGCGAGGGTTCACTGTAAAGGCTTATTTGTGGGACTTAAAACAATGTCTCTGTTATGTTCATCTCTCTCATCTTTTATTTCTTGGGCTAGTAACTTTTCAGAGATCAGAGATCAAGGGAGATAAAACCCTACTGAGTATCAGTTTGCCAATTTCCATGATTCGAAGACTCCCGCTATGGCCAACTTTAAGCTACAGTGTGGTGTCAGAGTTAGGAAGAGATTGGGGAAAATCAGTTCTTGGAGCAAGTGAGTTGGCTTAGGTACACTGTCTGGATTCCGCTCTTGGAGAGAGAAGTGGTTTCATCACAGAATTACTGAGCCCAAGTATGTACTCATCTGTAGGTACCCTAGGTCTCTGTAGGTAACTACAGAGACGTCTTTTAGCCTAGGCAAATAAACATGCACAAGAAGCAAAAACAGGGTGGGTCCATTACAGACTCACACCATGCCCAGACTACTTTCTCTTTCTTCAAAGTCCCCAGAGGCTGGTCCTGACCAGACTCTGTCCACGATCACAGTAATTTATTTTAGAATTGCTTAGTTATCTCCTTGCAATCTAGCATCCATCAGACTCCCCAGTTATGGGCATGACTCAGGAGGTTTCTCATGGGGCCTGTGATGCCACATCAGTCAGATGTGGCTGGTTAACGAGTTATGAGGAAAGGGGCAGCCAAACTCTATAAGGAAGAATTGCCGGGATCCATACTCCGTTTTCTTCCCAACACCTGCAGCAGTGTTCACTGTTGGGGAAGAACGTTTCCAGGGAAAATCAGCAGGAATCCAACACCACACATGTCTCTCAGTGTTTGGGGACCAGTCTTTCCACACACAACACAGCCCACAACCAGACTGATTTACTGATACAAGGAAAGACTTTATTTATACCCAAGGGAATTTTTCCATCTCCTCTTCTCTGAGCCCAAACTCTTTCAACTACCATATATACTCAAGTATAAGCCGAGGCACCTAATTTTACCACAAAAAATTGGGGTGCTTTTTAAGCATAAAAAATGTGCTGGAAAAAAAATGTGCTGAAAAAACTCAAGCTTATACTCGAGTATAGATGGTAAATTGAGTCTACTCTTAATGTCCTGTGGTCCTGTTATCTCCTTGAGGCCTCTCTGGAGGCACAGAAAGTTAAAGCATTGACAGCAAAGGATATGGACAGATTGGTTCTTCACTCCAAGAACTAGGGGTGGCATCTGACTTGCTTCTTTCATCCTGGAACCTCACTTTAGGAAAATGACATATTTCCCTTACCTAGCAATCTTATCCCTTGATCCAGGCATGAAAATTTCTGTCCATATTTTGTATCACAGCAGAGTCTCCAGACTAGGGATCCTCAAACTTTTTAAACAGGGGGCCAGTTCACTGTCCCTGAGACTCGTTGGAGGGCTGGACTATAGTTTAAAAAAAACCTATGAACAAATTCATACGCACACTGCACATATCTTATTTTGACGTAAAAAAACAAATGGGGCAAAAACACCCGGCAGGCTGGATGAATGTCCTCAGTGGGCCGCATGTGACCCGCGGGCTGTAGTTTAAGGACGCCTGCTCCAGACCATCTACAGTGTAATGGGGAAGAGCTATTTGGGGATGCTCAGATCCTTGCAGCTTTTGGTATTCCATTTTTTAACACGAGGTTGGTTCTTTCAGTGCTGAAGGAGGATGTCACAGGAACAACGGAAAAGCTTCTGCCATCTGTCCCTAAGCTTGTCCGCAAACAAAGCATGTCCTCAGATCACCATCTTTTTCCCCCCAGTTTTATTCACAAGTAATTTACATATCACGCAATTCAATAGTTCAATCGCTCAGTCATACCATAGAGAATTGTACAATCACCCACACACAGATTTTAGGGCATTCCCCTTCCCGTGAAAATGGAAACGTCATGCTTTGAAAGAACAGCTCGGAAGTAACCAGACTTTTTCCCAAGGTGACAAAACATG